ATATAAAAACCTTGTTTGTCTTTTATTATAGTCTCTGTTTTAATATCTAGTTTATGTAATATAAGTATAGATACACAGCTTTTTTTAAGTTCCCATTTGCATAAAACATCTTTTTTTCCAGCTCCTTACATTCAGTCTCTGTGAGGCCTTATATATGAAGTGAATCTATTATAGGCAGCATATGTTTGGGTGTTGCTTTTTAAAAATCCACTCAGCCAATCTACTTTTTTTATTAAGTTTAGTCCATTTACATTTAAAATAATTATTGATAGGAATGGTCTTGTCAGCATTTTGTTGTTCTCTAGCTGTTTGGTAGTTCTCTGTTCCTTTGTTCTCTTGCTTTCTTCCTTTGTGATTTGATGATTTTCTAAAATGGTATGCTGAGATTCCTTTCTCTTCACGTTTTGTATATCTACTATGGAGTTTTGCTTTGTGGGTACCATGACACCACATAAAGCATACTATATTTATCACTGTCATTTTAAGTTGATAATCACAACTCCAATTTGAAAGCATTCTAAAACTCATATTTTTACTCCCACCTTCCCACCTCATGTTTTATGATTTTGATATCACAATTTACTTCTTTTTTATTTTCTGTATCCATTCTAAAATCTTTGTTTTTATCATTGTTTTTACTACTTATGTCTTTATCTTTTAACTAGTTTTGTAAGTGATTAACTCACCACCTTTACAGCTTTAGATTATTTTGAATTTTACGATATATTTACCTTTACTAGTGAGATTTATATTTTCTATTTTCACATATTTCACTTTTACTATTTAGTACCCCTTTGTTTCAGCTTAAAGAAGTCACTGTGACATTTCTTGAAAGCCGTCTAGTGGTGGTGAAATTCTTCAGCTTTTGCTTATCTGGAAAACTCTGTAGCTCTCCTTCAATTCTGAAGGGCAAATTTGCCAGGTAGAATATTACTGTTTGGCTGGTTTGTTGTTTTCAGAACTTTGAATATATCCTGCTTTTCCCTTTTGTCCCAAAAGTGTCTGCTGAGAAATCACAGTTTATTGGAGTTCCCTTGTATATAGCCAGTTGTTTTTCCCTTTCTGCTTTTAAGATTCTCTCTGTCTTTAACTTTTGACAACTTAATTATGTGTTTTGGGTTGGGTCTCTTTGGGTTCCTCTAATTTGGAACACTGCATTTCTTAGATCTGCATGAGTGTTTCCTTCCCCTGGTTAGGAAAGATTTTAGCCATTATTTCTTCCCATTCTTTTTTTCTTCTCCTTCTAGGACCCTAAATGCAAATATTGGTCCAATTGATGTTTTCCCATAAGTTCCTCAAACTATCTTTATGTTTCATTTGTTTTTCTTTATGTTGCTCTGATTGGATGAATTTCTCTACCTTGTCTTCAAGTTTGCTGATTCTTTTTCTATTTTATCTAGTCTTCTAATGAACCCCTCTATTGTATTCTTCAGTTCTATGATTCTGTTTGTTGCTTTCATAAATTTTCTTTCTTTCTGTTAACATTCTCACTTTGTTCATACATTGTTCTCCTGGACTTAGTAAACATCTTTATGACCATCATTTTGAACTCTTTATTAGGTAAATCACTTATCTATGTTTTATATATTTTTTCATTTGAAACACATTTCTTTATTTTTGTGATTCTCTGTGTTAGTATCTATGTCAGTGATGGTGAACCTTTTGAGTTCGGCATGTCAGCATTTTGAAAAACCGTAACTTAACTCTGGTGCCGTGTCACATATAGAAATTTTTTGATATTTGCAACCATAGTAAAACAAAGACTTATATTTTCGATATTTATTTTATATATTTAAATGCCATTTAACAAAGAAAAATCAACCAAAAAAATGAGTTCACATGTCACCTCTGACACGTGTGTCATAGGTTCACCATCACTGATCTATGTAGTAGATAAAACAGCTATCTCTTCCAGTATTTTTTTTTAGTTAATCTTCACCTGAGAATATTTTTTTTCTATTGACTTTTTCTTTTAGAGAGTGGAAGGGAAGGGAAGAGGCAGAGAGAGAGAGAAACATTGATGTGAGAGACATACATCCATTGGTTGCCTCCCGCACATACCCCAACCAAAGCTGGGTATTGAGCCTGCAACTAAGGCCAATTCCATGCCCTTGACTGGAATTGAACCCAGGACCCTTCAGTTTGAGGGCTGACACTCTATTTACTGAGCCAAACCAGCTAGGCTCTCCCAGTCTTAAATGAGTGACTTTTGTAGGCGATGAACTTTTTGGTTTTTTTTCAGCACTACCCTAGCTCTTGTTTGTCTACATGTACCTTTGTGATTTTCCTAAGAAGAGAGCAGTCTACTCTGTACTTGGTGGTTCCCAGTAGCTGAGAGTGTGTCAAGATCTGTCATGTCCTAAGTCATAATCTAGATTTAGGCTGAGTGGACATCAGATTCTCAAGCAGTAGCCTTTAAAGTATCCAATTAGGCCTATTTCATGGAAATACTAGGAGGTAGGCATTTCTGTGTGTTCCCTCTGCATTGAGGCGCAGGGTGATAACCCGTTAAGAACTGTTCGTTTGCTACTATTCCACTAAACACATGAACACAAGTCCCTCTGTTCACCAGAGCTAAGTTATCAAAGAATGTCAGCCAGGTTGCCAGATATGTGCCCAACCTCCTTTCTTGGGGATACTGGTGTCTGGGTTGGGCACAGGGAGAGCCAAAGATGGTACCCGCCAGGCTCCCTGGTCTCTGATGAGCATTGCAGTCAGGCGTCCAGGTGTGTGTTTAATTAGAAGTCTGCCCTTCAGGCTATGGCTCTTCCATAGAAAAACTGGGTGTTTCTGTCTGCTGCTTCTGAGCTCTGCCCTGGATGCAGGGGTAGCTATGGTCAGTCCATTTGTGCCCTTTAATCACTTTCTCAGTTTGCTACAACTTAGAGGGTCTTTGGATACCAACCCCTTTGGCTTGCAAAGCTAGGTGTTTTGGCGTTGTCTTTCAGGTACAGGTCTTAAAACTTGGGTTGCCAGATACTGGGTTCAAACCCTTTGCTCCTCAGAGAATAATGGGGGGCTGTGAGTTCCCTTTGAATTATGGATTGCCATGCCGAGAGTGGGGTTTATGGCGAGATTTTTGTCTCAGCCTTTTTTATCAATGCCTTTGTGTAGCTTTCCTCATTCCCCTGATGTGTAAGAGTTGCTCAGTTAGTTTTCTAACTTCTTTCAGAGGGAATTGTTCCAGATATATTGGTAGTGTGTCTGTGGGAGGAGGTTAATTCAGATCCTCCTACTTTGCTATCTTTAACTGGAATTCCATTTTACATTTATCTTAAGAGAAAAAAAAATTTATTTTTTGGGTCAAACAATGGGAACAGAGAGTTTGCAATTTTTGTGGGGTAAATATCACACGGGTGATGAAGGAAACAGTCAGATTTTGATTTCCAAAACAGGATCTCTTGAACTACTACAAACAGTACTGAAAGTTTAGCTAAAGTGAACTAATAAAAGGGCAACTCTAGGAGTTGTTTCCTCAACCACACTATTGACAGAAGATGGTATCTTTTTAAGGACTCTTTTGTTGGAAGCACTGAAGTGTTACATGGTTAACAGAAGCCTTATTGCAAACATTCTCTATCTTGCTCATTGTATCACTTCTCTCACATTCCCATTTTCTGAGGTCTCTCAGGTCACGTACATGTCAGCATTTGCCTTATGATAGTTGTTTGTTCTAATATTGACTGAGCTTTAAATATATCTTAAAAGCTACTTCTGTGTAATTGTGTTTTACTCAATTTTGCAGTTTGCTAGATAGAGCTGAGAATGTGGGGTAAAATTCCTTTTCTCTGTGATTTCAGCTTTCAACCTCTAAAACAATGAAGCAGGGAAAGTGTTATTAAAAGTGTGTTTTTCAAAATAAGGGCACTTTAGAAATGAATAAATCTAGAAGAGTCAACTTCTCAGTCTCTTGAGCACTTTATTTGTTATAAATACAAGTCAATACCACAAGATGGCACCTTCTTACTTTCAACATCTACTATTACAAACAATTATCTTCATAAAATGGTTTCAGCTTTTAATGTGTTTTAGATATTATTGAAACCTTATAAAAGCAAGACTTGCTATAAACAGGATTGGTGTTTGATGTATATTAAATGAGGTCAGATAATTAACTTCAAAAAAAATTTATAAATATTCAGATAAGAAAATTGAAATTACAAAAGCAGAGTTTGTCATCATTAAACTGAATTACAACTGTGATTAATTCTATATCTACGTTGCTAAGTTTTGTTAAAATGCAGTTTTAGTAATCAAATAATCTACCTCATTCTCCAATATGACCACCTAGTTCATTTGTACCCCATCACACTCAATACACATTTCATTTAGAAACCACCCAGCTTTCATCTAGTTCGTCAATTATGCACACTCCATTTCTTTCAATAGATGCAACCCACGAAGTGCCATCATCCCCTGGCTACAAAACAAAATACAATATTCAAAGGTAAAAACTCAGAGAATTTCTGAAATGGCAGCCCATTCCCTCTGTGTTCATGAAAATAGTCAATGCAATTTGAAGGTCTCTGAACTAATGTAAACTCTAGAAAACTCAGTGTTGAAATATGGAAAGAAGAAAGATTTGCACTAATATAGTGCGTAACAATGCAGTGTCAAACTCGCCATTTATAGTAAATGTCTTGATTGGACTTTCCTCTGGATTGTCATCATGCTGCAGAAGATAAAGATTACTCAAGTCTGTGGGAATTCCATCACGTTTTCTTCCTCCCTTTTCCAAAAGGGAAGAGAAGGATTTTCAGGTCCCTTGAGAAAATAAAAAAAATTAAACACACCCACAAACAACTTGAAACCAAAATGGCAGACTGAATAATCCTTGACTCCATATCCAAATGAAGTTGAGGCAATATTACTTTTGCAGTATTTGTATTCTGCCTAATATATCACACTGTGAGATTCCTCAAAAAACTGAGAAGTCTGAGAGCTACAAAAGAGAAAGCAGTTAAGGCAGTCGATGTCTACATTTGGATTTCCTTTTCAGGTTACATGTCTAAGTCTCCATCGTAGGCGAAGGTCAGAGGCTTCTGTTGGGGAGGTGTGCTTTGATGTGGTTTTGGCTTCTTGCTGCAAAGGGAAAAGAATTCCTGAGATAAAGAAAGTTCACAGAGCTCTGTTTCATCTGCCAAAGACAATTGTGAGGTTTAGAAATTCAATCAGTTCAATGACAAAATATTATTTTCTCTGGACTTGGGGTTTTCTTACTTGTCTACTTTAATGCTATTTTTAGGAGAAGCCTCCTGCTTTCAAAATCTTAGAAAGAGTTTAGTGGAAACAGTGAACTTGGTAGAGGGCTACTTTCTTTCTTGTGCCTTTTTATACACGGTAATGTGAACATCTGCGGCTCACTAATTCCTCAGCTATTGCAACCTTCATGTTGCAGATGTTTAACATCCTAGGCTGCTGGAGTAGCCAGAATCTGGTGCCTTACCCTGGTCTTGTTTTTAAGTAAACACTCTTCTGCTCTGGCCTGAAACTTGACATTTAGCTGCCAAGTCACCTGAGCATGTCAGGAAAATTAAGAGGAGCCTGCACCATGGAAAGCCATTCTCACCTGGTGTGTGTTACCTAAGGCCACCAACTTCGCCAGAGCTGCTGTTCCCTCTCACAGAGAAGCTGAAATTGGTATCATTCCCAATTCACAGTCATGCCCAACAACCTCCCTTACACTCTTTGATTGTTAGTATGGGTGAATCTCTGTGTTTATGAACAGTTATAGTTTGAATTACACCACACACTGCCCTACCGTCCCGATTCCTTCTTCCTCGATGCCTTTGCTTTGCCCTGCCTCTAGAGCCCAGCTCTCTTTTGGGTTGTTCTCATTAGCAGGGAGCCATCTCACTCCCTGTCTCCAAATTGTAGTGGCATCTCTTATTAATTAAATAAATGCATAGTTAGTGCCAAGCTCTTTGATGGGCATTTCACCTAAAATATCTCAATAAATCCCCGAACAACCCTGAGAGGGAGGCACTAGATTAATGGCTACTTTACAGAGAAGGATGAGTGAGGTTATTGAACCTCTCTCTAGTCACTGAGTGAGTGGCAGAGCCTGGATTCTAAGCAAGACTAACACCCAGACCTGTGCATCTACCCTCTTCAGCACATCTCTCTCTACACAGGCCATACTTAGGCATCTGGTAGAAACAACTTTTTTGTGTGTATCCATAAGAATGAATTTTTATATTCTGAGTGAATTTAAATTAAAAACAAACATGTTAATGTATACAATTCTGTAACATTTAGTACATTCACCATGCCCTGTAACCATCACCCCTATCTGGTCCGGGCACATTTTTATCACCTTAAAGGGAAACTCTGCACCTACTAAGCAGTCTCTCCCCATCCTGCCCAGCAACCACCTACCAACTTTCTGCCTCAGTGAATTTGTCTATGGAGGATATTTCACATAAATGGAATTATACTAAATGTGGACTTTGTCATTTGGCTTCTTTCATTTAATGCTTAAAACAGTGAATTTTCTGATATGAACTTTACCACAGTTAAAAAAAGTTTGATAAAATTAAAATGGTTGTCAGGAGAATGTCCTAGTTTAAAATGCTCAAGTTCTAATTTAAGGAGAAAAACATTTTATTTTAAGGTTTGAGGCATAAAGCAACTTATAGGAGCTAAAGAGATAAATTAAAATGATTAAATAAACTATTAAAAGAAACCAGGAATCCTATCGGTGCCCCCACCCTTACAGCTGCCAGGCAATGGGTGCTCAATGGACAGCTACACATTTTACATAAACTCTCTCAATAAATCCCAGAACCACCCTGAGAGGGAAGCAAATAGTTTCTAACCAGGGAAGTTGAAAGGCAGAAACATGCTTTAGAATTCTCAGCCTCCAATTTCCTGCTTCCCGTGTATTTTCCACTTCTCCAAAAGGTATTTATTGCATAATTAGACAAACATTCAATTTGACTTTATATTAGTAGTATATTAATGGATACATATATTCCAGTTGCTCTAGTCACGTTGTTGAGTCAGGCTCTCGTATGGAAAATGGACCCAGACTGAAACTGGGTCCTGAGTACTCAAATCTGAAACATTTAAAGGGACTAAGAAAATACTCAAATAAGAGTTTAGGGCAACTTGTAAGTGACAGCTTGTATACCACCCTGGGGGTTATCTTAATGTTAGAAAGAACACCTGGACATTCATCTGAAATGACAGTAGGGGTCCTCTCTCTCACCTATTTTTTTTCCAGGGCACGGGAAGGGAGGGAGAAGAAATATAATTGCTTTCAGAGAATTTCTGGCAATCCACTCTTAGTTGGCATTTGCTAAATGTAATTAGGCAAAGTGAAATGGAATTGCTGAGTTCTAGGGACTGGGGAAGAGATAGCTGGATCTTATAAAGAGATAGTAACCTTTCCTTGGAGACAGCTAATATGGTCCAGCTATGGTGAGCTGGGCCTGGAAAATTCCACTCTAAATATTACACAGATATTTTAATAGCAGTTTCATGTAAAGAATTACAAACACTGTGTCTACCTCTAGAAGAAAAAAGGGGAGGGGGGCTCCTAATACATAAGCCTTGGATTTTTGTGGGCTGTGAGGTTTATTGGGAATCATTGTGATGGTATCATATGATGAATTTTTCATATTGTGTACTCTCTCCATTGTCAGATACTAAAATAATAATTATGAATGTGTGAGACCTAAAATTTTTTATAGTTTAGAAGTTCTCAGATGTTGGCAAACATTGAATATGGTGGTACTGTGTTGGGTAGCTGTGGCTTTGCAGAGCTGGGCTAGTCAAAAGCATGCTGAGAGGAGAAGCTGAGTGGCAGGGTGCCCTCTGCAAAGCCAGTAAACAGGAGGCCTTTCATTTTTTGTTTCTATTGCAGTTGACATACAATATTATATCCGTTTCGGGTGTACACTGTAGTGCTTGGATATTTACATAACTTACAACTTGACCACCCGATAACTCTAGTATCCATGTCACACCATATACAGTTATTACAATACTGTTGATTATATTCCCCAGGCTGTATTTTATGTCCCTGTGACTATTTTTTATAACTGCCAATTTACACTTCCTAATCCTTTCAACTTTATCACCCACCCATCTAGCAACCTTGAATTTGTTTTGTGTATCTATGACTTTTTTTCTATTTTACTTGCATGTTTATTTTTGTCTTTTGGATTCCATATATAAGTGAAATATGTTTGTCTTTGTCTGAATTATTTCACTAACCATATTACCTTCTAGGTCATGCATGTTGTCACAAATGGCAAGATTGTATTCTTTTGTATGGCTGAGTAAATATATATATATATATCTCGCATCATCTTTATCCATTCATCTATCAATGGACACTCGGGTTGCTTTCGTATCTTGGTTATTGTAAATAATGCTGCAATGAACATAGGAGTGCATATGTCTTTTTGAATCAATTTTTTTGGTTTCTTTGGATATGTTCCCAGAAGTGGGATTTCTGGGTCAAAAGGTAGTTCCATTTTTAATTTTTTGAGAAAACTCCATACTGTTTTCCACAGTGGTCACACAAATTTACAAACTCACCAACAGTTGTTTGTTGATTTAGTGACTATAGCCATTCTGACAGGTTTAAGGACATATCTCATTGTGGTGTTAATTTGCCCTTCCTTGATGATTAGTGACATTGAGTATCTTTTCCTATGTATACTAGAGGCCTGGTGTACAACATTCATGCACTGGGTGTGGGGGTCCCTCAGCCCGACCTGTGCCCTTTTGCAGTCCGGAACCCCTCAGGGGATGTCTACCTGCCGGCTTAGACACGCTCCCCGGGGTCCTTAGTGCTGCCACGGAAGCGGGAGAGGCTCCCACCACTGCCACTGCGCTCACCAGCTGTGAGCCCAGCTTCTGGCTGAGCGGCTCCCCCTGTGGGAGTGCACTGACCACCAGGGGGCAGCTCTTGCATTGAGCATTTTTCCCCTGGTGGTCAGTACGTGTCATAGTGACCAGTTGTTCGGCTGTTCAGTCAATTTGCATATTAGGGTTTTATTATATAGGATTGGACATCTGTTCTCTTTGTAAAAAATGTATATTCAGGTCTTCTGCACATCTTTTCATTAAACTTTATTTTTGTATGAAGTTGTGTGACTTCCTTAAACATTTAGGGTATTAACCCCTTATCGGAGATATCATTGGTGAATATCTCCCCCCATTCAGTACGTTGTCTTTTTGTTTTGTTAATGGTTTCCTTTGCTGTGCAAAAACATTTTTATTTGATGTAGTTCCATTTGTTTTATTTTTTTCTTTGTGTCCCTTGCCTGAGAAGACATATCCAAAAAGGTATTACTAAAAGTTATATCAAAGAGTTTACTGCCTGTATTTTCTTTTAAGTTTTAAGTTTATTCATATATATATATCTATATCTATCTATCTATCTATCTATCTATCTATCTAGATATAGAGATAGATATAGATATATATTAGGATAGCTTCATTTTTTTGCCTGTATCTGTACAGTTTTCCAAACACCTTTATTGAAAGGAATGTCTTAACCCCATTGTATGTTCTTACCTACTTTGTCATAGATTGGTGGGCCATATAGGTGTCAGTTTATTTTTGGGCTCTGTATTCTGTTCCACTGACCTATGTATCTGTGTAATCTATGCCATTACCGTGCTGTTTTGATTATTATAGTCTTGTAAAATAGTTTGACATCAGCAAGTACGATACCTTCAACTTCATTCTTTCTCAAGATTGCTTTGGCTATTTGGAGTTTTTGTGGCTCATATATATTTTAGGATTATTTGTTCTAGTTCTGTGAAAAGTATCTTTGGCATTAGGGATTGTATTGAATCTGTAGACTGCTTTTGACTGTACAATTTAATGATGTTAATTCTTCTTACCCATGAATGGAATATATATGCTTCCATTTAATTGTATCCACTTTACTTTTTTTCTCCAATGTTTTATAGTTCTCCAAGTATAGGTCTTTAACTTCCTTGATTAAATTTATTTCTTGATATTTTATTCTTTTTGATGCTATTGTGAATGGAATTATTTTCTTAATTTTTCTTTCTGACAGTTTATTGGTATATAAAAATTTAACCTATTTCTGAATATTA